ATGTAATTTGGGAATATACAGCCATATGTCCACAACAAAAAGATAGCGGAGTGTACTGCAGTACGCGACAATTATCAGACATCCCAAGTGGTGAGGGATATGAAATTGAAACTTGAACTGAATCTGAAGCCACCATTCAAGCCAAATCTAGCCACAAACAGTAGAGTTAAGCGACAAGATCTGTTACTAGACACTTAGGGCACCTGAAAGGGACTAGGGGAAAAAATATTTATATCTAAACGTCGAATTAGCATGGCCAAACGTCAGTTCAAATGTCCTGACAGGAAGCAATAGGTAAGATCAGGGGGCGGTGACTTGAGGCAAGGCCTGAAATAGACTGCGATGGCAAGGTTCTAAGAATCGTGATTTTATTCTACACAAGGGGGGCTGTGAATATGAGATTTGCCAGCAAGGGGGAGGGTAGGAATGCCAGGTGCCTGACTGCAGGTCAGAGAGTCAGAATGCCTGATTTGAATGTGGAAGCAAGGAACATACAGGTAGGATACATCTGATGATACGGAGTAGAGGAGAAGAATACAGGCTATAGACACTAAAACAATGAAAATTGGGCATAACAGACGCCAGAGGGCCAACAACAATACAGGTGGGGTCCAATACTACTAGAAGATATCAAAACACAAGTAAAAGCGTATATAGTAAGCCTGACAATGGGGGAGAAGTTTACAAAAGACCCACAAAGACACAGAAGAAGGACTTCATCATGGGGACAAGGGGTGTAGATCTATGGAATCTAGAACTAAATGATAACAATAAAGTCCTCCGCCTTGGTACCAGATGCGGAAAACATCAGTACAGCATCGCATCATCATGGAGACAACAGGCCGGGCAGAGATCCAAGAGATCCCTGACCAAACAACAAAGATACTAGTAGGATCTGCCTCGGTACCAAAGGTGAAAAAACAAGGATGCCTCCTTACAATCCTAAAAAAAACACCTCTGGTCTAAACTGCAAAGCGAACAAAATGCTTGGGCACTAAACTAGAAAGAGAAAAAAACCCCTCCATGCTAAACCCAAAAACAAAACACCCAAAGGGGAACTGCTCTTGGTACAACTAGAAAAAAAGTTGGTATCATCCAAGACCGGAGTCTTATGAGTTGTAGACAATGTGACTTCAGGACCGGCGGCACCCACGGGGAGTCGAGGTCAGGTCGCGTGAATTGTGCTCTTTGTGGCTGTGGGGCATAGCATTACCTTGGCCTTTTCCTTTAGGCTTGGGCGATGTGGAGGTATTCTGGTACGCCTTGGTGGTATGTGTTTCTCCAGCATCTGGGAGAGAAGTAGTAGCCGGGCCCAGGGGAGTGAGAGCTGGAGGCGGGGGAAGCGGTTTGGGTGTGGTGGGGGGAAGAGGCAGAAGCAAAGTGTCGGGCGGTGGGAGGGGAGGAGGGCATGGCAGTGCTTCTGGGATATGCATTGTGGGGTCAGGGAGGGGAGCCGGTTGAATTTCCAACGGACTCAGAGAGATGCTGTCCAATGTACTATCATACCCACATCCACGTGCTGGTAATGCATGGCCAGCTTCCGGATTCCGCATGTAGTCAGCTATACAAGGTATGTTCTCAACAATGTCCTGTACGGATCTCTCCTTCTCGGGTCTGGACGGCCCTGCCGGCAGTGGGTCAGACTCAGTCAACTGATGCGGGGGGGTTGCTGGATGGTGCTGGGTGCTTGGGACTCTAGTAGTGGATGCTGCTAGTTTATGAGCCAGATTCCTTGACCCGACCAATGAGGAAGCTGGCTGTCCTGACTTGCATGGTTGTTGGGCGGGGGCCGCAGGGGTCAGTTCTGGGGGGCGGGAGGGGCCAGCTGTAACAGGGGCTCTTTCAGGTAGAAAGATCCTAAGGATGCGACTGTAACGACCCTACGAAATAGAGCTAAGGCAACCTATGTCTACGGCCATACATAAGACCAAGAGGTTGAGTGGTAGACAAGGAGGACATTAGACATGTCCGAGGGATATCGGATGGTCCGGGTATCCCATAGAACAGAAGGTAGGTCAGCAATAGGTGTACCAATGTAGTAGGAATAAAGTGACTAGGTCCACTCCGACCTAAGGCTAGGTTGGAAGGCCGGGTGAGTTTACCCGGTCTAGGAGAGTCACATTACCATGCCATGGAGACTGTTTTCATGTCACCATGGACATACTTACCCTACCTTTGGGATGCTATTACCCTACCTTCCATCAGAAACGTTCTCGGAGGAATTTCGGGAATTGTTAGGATTGTTTGTCATACAAGGACAATCGCTGAGCACTTGGTTGCACGTTGATCGGAAAGCTACAGGAGGAGTAATAGTGCTCCGAACATGCTATAACTTGGTAGCACTATTCCTAAGAGGTTCCTGCGGCGCCAGGGTTCGCCCCGGGCGTCATGGGCCAAAATGGGTGAAGTTGCTGTCTTGCTAGTTAAATGGAATCAATGATGATGTGTCCATAACATTGTATACATCGCTGCCATCCGGCTGACTGGAAGCTGTTCGCAGGATATAGAAGGGGGCAAGGTGAGAAGGTCAGGTACCTTCTCTATAAGGAATGGAGTAAAATGGACCATAACTGATGGAGTTAGGGTGAGCTATCCGGAAGGGTCCCTCGAGTAGTCCCGGGTAGTGCCGGAGACATCAAGGAAGGTTTTACACCAATCATGCCTACACTTGCCCCTTTGCCGTAGGCTTTTTGTGGGTGGTTGGAAGACTCTAATAGCATGATACTTATCATGGTGAGTGGTATGCCAGGGGTACGGGACCGTGGGTAGCGCTCAGGGGTCCCGCTGCCGTCACAGCTCTTCGGGGGAGCGTCGTAGACCCTCTAAGTTCACAATCAAGATAGATAGAACTTAACCGCAGGACACATGATGTCTACGGGTGCCTCCATAGATCAATGCTCATGGGTAGAGAGTCATTTAGTTAGCTTTCCCAGGTGACGCGACAGTTAGCCACTGCCGAGACACCGGTGCGCAGAGGTTTTCACTTCGGCAGGTGTATTGGTAAACACCTTGCAGGACTGATGTGCATATGGCAGAATTCTGCAAGAGTGCGCTGACACCTCAGACCCTTCGGGGATGTGGTAATGGTGCCGGGGTAACCCTTACGAAGAAGGGCACACTCCTGTTGGTCGGGGTAACCTGATGAGGAAGTTTTGGGTATAAGTCTGACTACTTAAAGATTATACAAGAACTCTCCTACCCCGACAGAATCAACATCCTCTCGAGACACTTTAATTGAGATAAGCCTGAGCTTAACGATATTAAGTTTTGCCGTTTACTTTTATTCGTTACATTTTGCAAGAGCTGTGTTCGAGAGACTAGAAGTTTGGTGCAGTCGCATCCTTGGGATCCATCTTCCTCTGGAAGCCCCCGTCACAGGGACTACACTAAGCTTTGAAACTCTCAAACACAGCTCTTTCAAAGTGTAAAGAATAAGAGTACACTGTAAAACTTAATATCGTTAAGCTGCGGCTTATCTCAATTAAAGTCTTTGGAGAGGATGTTGATTCTGTGGGTGTAGGAGAGTTCTCGTATAATCTTTAAGTAGTCAGACTTATACCAAAAGCTCCTGTATCAGGTTACCCCGTCCAAAATGTGTATGCCCTTCTTCATAAGGGTTGTCCCGGCACCATTACCACATTCCCTAAGGGACTAAGGTGTCAGCCCACGCTTGCAAAAATCTCCCATATACACATCAGTCCTGTGCCAGTGAGCTGTTTGCCAATACACCTGCCAAAGTCAAAACCTCTGTGCATCGGTTTCTCATCACTGGCTAACTGTTGAGTCACCTGGGAAAGCTAACTAAATGACTTCCTACCCATGATCAATGATCTATGCAAGCACCTGTACACATCAGCTGTCTTCCAGGTAAGTTCGATGCATCTTGAGTGCAAACTTAGAAGGGTTACCGTGCTCCCGCAGAGAGCTACAATGGTAGCGGGACCCATAGTTGCTACCCATGGTCCCTTACGCCCGACACACCACTTGTCATGATAAGTATCATCCTATTAGAGTCTTCTAACAACCCACAAAGAGCCTAGGGCAACGGGGCATGTGTAGGCATAATTGGCGTAAAACCTTCCTCAATGTCGCTGGCACTACCCGGGACTACTCCGGTGACCCTTCCGGATTGCTCACCCTAACTCCATCAGCTTTGGTCTGTTTTACTCCGTTGTTGAGGGAGAAGGTACCTGACCTTCTCGCCCTCCCCGCTTATATATCCCGCGAACAGCTCCTTCTCAGACAGATGGTAGCAACGTATACCGTGTTATAGACCTGTCTTCACCGACTCCGTTCAACTAGTATGACGGCAACCTCACCAATTTAGGCCCTGGACACCCGGGGCGAACCCTGGGGCTGCAGGTACCTCTCAAGAATATTCCTGCTAAGTTACAGCATATTCGGAGCACTATTGCTCCTCGCGTACTCTTCCGATCAACAAGCAACCAACTGCTGGTGCATTCTCCTTGCGTAACAACCAATGCTAACATTTTCGAGAAATCTACCGGGAATATTTCCGACAGAAGGTAGGGTAATAGTATCCCAAAGGTAGGGTAAGTATGTCCCTGGTGACGCAAAACCTGTCGCCATCCCAGTGTAATGTGCTTCTCCTAGACTGGGTAAACTCACTTGGCCTTCCGCCCTATCCTTAGGCCAGAGCAGCCATAGTCATATTACTTCTGCTACCTTTGTACACATATTCCTTGAGTACCTTCTGTTCTATGGGATGCCGGGACCATTGGATATCCCTCGGACATGCATTAGCCTGTCTGACTAGTCTACCACTTAATCTCTTAGTCTTATGTATGGGCATAGACATAGGTTGCCATAGCTCTATAAGGTCGGGTCATTACATCACTCTCCTCTTCTCTCAGAACTGACCCGGTCCGCTAACGTGGTCTTTTATTTCCCTAAATCACTTTGCCCTCAACCCTATGGTCTCTTGGTTTATGGGGATACCAGTAGTGGAAATCCTTCATGGCTTGTAAGCCAGTGCCCTCTAGCATCTCGTATGGCTGCCCAGTGTTCCCCTCTGCCCCATAGCCTTCCCATGAAATGAGGTACTGTACAAAACGGTTTGGAAATTTCGCTTTCATACTTCCGTACCATCGACCATCCAGTACCGCCTCAATAACGTAGCCGGGCTCATTATCAACCCCCTTGGGGATGGGAACTTCTTTAGTCTTTTTTCCACTTGGGTCCTCACGATAGGGCTCTAAGAGTCCAACATTGAATACTGGATGGATTGACTAGCGGGCAGGCAATTGGAGTTTATAAGCTCGGTTACTAAGCTTACCCTTGACCACAAAGAGTTCAAACACTTGGTCGTCTAGCTTCTCCATAGGTCCGTTAGTGCAGATGTTCTTTCGATTTAGCATCACGTGATCAGCCTTCCTTGCCCTACTATTCATCACATCTTTGATCATAATATATTCCTGGGATGGCAACCGTTTCTGGTCATGCCATTTCCACTGTCTCTCTTGAGCTCCCTTAAGTGCATCTCGGACTTCTTGTCAGACACGTTCCTAATTCCTTACTAATAGCTTGCTACAGGGATGAACACCTTGTTGCTCTGAGACCGTACCCAACCAGTTGGTCCAGGTGTTAAAACCACAGTTTATCTCAAAGGGAGACAACTTTGTCGACTCGGAGGTGGATGTCTGGTACACCAATTCCACCAACCGTAATAGCGATGCCCAATCATCCTACTGATATGAACAATAACTTCTTAAGTATAGTTCCAAGTTCTGGTTTCCCCGCTCAGTTTGCCCATTAGTCTTAGGGTGGAAAGCAGTTGATAACCGTAGTTTCACTTGCAACTGTTGCATCCGGCTCATCCAAAACTTGGATGTGAATCAGCTATCTCTGTCGGAGATAATAGATTCTGGGAGCCCATGGAGCGCCCAAACTTCCTTCAGGAATATCAGAGCCATATCCTTAATTGCGATGTCTGTGGTCAAAGGTATCAAGTATTCCATCCTTGAGAATCTATCCACAATTACCTGAATTTTGGTATACCCCTCTGATTCTGGTAGTGCTACTATGAAGTCCATGGAGATATCTGTCCACGGTATCAATTGTACTCCGACCGGTTCTAACAAGCTAAACTTCTTATACTTCATGGACCTGTTCTATTGACAGGTATCATATGTATGAAGGTAGTTCGTAATGCTCTCATCCATCTTAGGCCAAAAGACACTAGCCCTAACCCGGCCTACTGTCTGGTATGTCCTAAAGTGTCCCGCAATACGGGAGTCATGCTTGGCTCCCATGATCTTATCCTTCAGATCCTGTGTATCTGGAATGTACCACCTGTTCTTATACAGGAGAAGGTCTCTTTCTACCATCAAGTTACAGTCTACTCCTTTGTCTTCCGCTAACACAGCCTTTAAGTCCTTCATATAGAGAGGATCCTGTTTCGCTGCAACATGCACTGCATCCAAAAAGGAGGATTGCTACCAGTAGCTTTGACAGGCAGCCAATGAATAAGGGCATAAGTGATCTCTCTCTTGTCGCACAACCCACTGTTCAGGGTGAAAAAATGGCTTTAGTGACTCGGACGGAGAATTACTCCCTCCTTCAGGGTGGTGGTCTCTGCCCCTTGACAGCACATCTGCCTTAGTATTCAGCCTTCCTTCATGGTAAAGTACCTAAAAGTTGAAAGGCTGCAGGAATTCCCCCCAGCGATGCTGTTGGCGGTTTAGGGTTTTAGTACTATTAAAGCACTCCAAATTCCTGTGATCAGTATAAGCCGCGATCTCACCCTCTACCAACCTAAACAGATGTTCCCATTCCTTGAATGCCGCAACTATAGTAGCCATTTCCTTGCCATGGACATCATAATTTATCTCAGCCGGGTGGAACTTCATACTATGAAAGGCGACTGGATGCCACTTCTCATCCTCACAGAATTGAGCTAGCATGCCACCCAAAGCAAAGTCACTTACGTCCATGTCCAACTTGGTTCGACACGTAGAATAGAAGTGTGCTAGGACTGGCCCCAAAGTAAAAGCCATCCTCAACTCATAGAATACTTCACTACAAGTGGGGGTCCAATCAAATCATACATCCTTCCTAGTAAGGTCTGTCAAAGGTTTCGCTATCTTGCTAAAACCCTCTATAAACCTTCTATAGAAGTTAGCGAAGCCCAGAAAACTTTAGACTATGACGATGTTAGTCAGTTTCTTCTATTCCAGCATGGAATCCACCTTCTTAGTGGTCATACATATCCCCTTTTCTGATATCCTATAACCTAGGAACTCTATCTCATATCTGTAGAAGAACGACTTGTTTAAGTTTATACATAGTTGATGTTCCCTTAGCCTTTCCATCACGTGCCTTACTAAAGAGACATGTTCCTCAATAGTCTCTAAGTAAATCAGGATATCGTCCATATAGGCTACAACTCCTTCTCCCAGGATGTCCCTAAATATGTCATTTATCATGCTCTGGAAGGTGGTGGGCGCGTTACATAACCCAAAGGGCATCACCTTAACGTGATGTAGTCTCATTTCCCTATGGAAAGCTGTGAGTTCCTCATGGGAGTGTGTGTCTCCTGTGGCCTTCTTGGCCATTCGGATTCCCTAATATCCATTCTTGAGGTCTATCAATGTGTACACTGTGGCTTTTGAGAGCCTACCTCGCAATTATCAATAGGAGAGGATATCTATTCTTCACTGTAATCTTATTGAGTCCTCGGTAATCTATTACCAGTCTCAGTGTACCATCTGGTTTTGGCACAAACAGTATAGGAGCAGAGGATGAGGAAGTAGATCTTTTAATCTTCCCAGGGTGTAACATTTCAGTTATGAAGTCCTTTAGTGCTACTCACTCCATTGTAGAAATTAGATAGAGTGGACCGCAGGGCGGTATGCTTCGCGGAATCAACTTGATCCTATAATCATACTTCGTATGTTCCGGTAATGCATCTATCCTTTCTTGGCCGAATATGCAGTGGCACCAAAATCCTTATACTCTGGAGGGAGATGGATCGTGACATCTCCCCCCCTTTCTTCGGCAAACTCTACTGTCCCAAGAAAATACACATTCTTCCGGTCTTCAGCCAATAGTTCCTCATCCGACATGTATACTAACCGCCTCTGCTCTGTCAGGCAATTTGCCTTACAGAAATCTGAGTGCCAGGTCAGTGATCCTACATGCTAATTGATATCAGGGTTGTGATCTTTCAACGACGACACTGGGAGATAACTGTCGACTCTATAGTTGGCGATATTGGCTACCTCAAAGTGCATACCATTTACATGATCGCCGATCTTCAAATCCAATGCTTGGGTGTAGTGAAGACCTGACCCAGGTATGTGGTTACTACTTGCATCCTTTATTGGAGTAGGAATCCTTCGTCACCCACATGGACCTTGAGTATACTCAACCCATTTGCTACTTAGTACGGGGCCAGTGGCTCTGCTGTCTAATAACAATAGTGCTTTGGCACTCACTTGTCTACACCCTATACGCCAATATAGTGTCACTGGTAAGTGAATTCATTTGCTATGCTTGGGTGGACTAGAGTACCTAGGCTTCTTACTTTTTCTCGTAGTACTCAATCTTGCAAGTCTCTTGTCTTTTGACACAAGAGCAGCCACAACAGGTCGGTAAATATTTTTAAGAATAGTTTTAATTAATGAAGGGAATTGGAGTGCTGTTTACTATGACACCAGCATGATTTCGGGTACTGAATCCTCCTCAGGTAAATTTGAAAGATAACTTATATTCAAGACCAATAACCCAAACCAATTCGAGAGTGTAAAACAACCGATTCATATAAGACAAAGCAAATACATTGCCTGTCTGGAGACATCCAGTCAACCGATGCCAAACCAGGCATCTTTGTGCCCTTTCCGAATGTCGCGTGGTTCCCATTTTCCACAGCAACCCCTCAGAGCAGAATGCTCATTCAAAGAAAAACCTGAAAGTAATTTCCCTGAAATTGTCTAACAGGAAATAATCCAAAAATTGAAAAGAAATAACAAAACCTAAGAACCAAAAGGAAACCCAAAACACTACGTGTGCCTCTAACATCTACCTGACCAAGTAGTTTCCCAACACTACTGTGTAGAAAACTTGTCAGAACTGAAGGACCATTTACGTAGATGGGTTCTCACCTTAATCTGTTCCACCTAGGTGGCTATCTTCTTTCCTCGAGATCTTCCTTGATCTGGAGAAGTTAGTCTTTGTTACTTTGTTATTAGGATTAGGTTCTTACCTTCTCCCATGTCCGTATCTATCACCATGTCACAAACTGTGACTAAGCAAGGCAGATTTCACATAACCCGGAATTCCGAGTTACAGGTATGTTGGAATTTCACATGACATGCACTAGTGCATCTTAGCTTATCATGTTTATTGGTTCGTGACTCACAGTTGTGAGTCACACGATGTTATGATTTTTACACATGATTCATAATGTGAGTCATGGATCTTACTGAGGTGACGCGAGTCATGCACCTGACTTGGTTATTATGTTTTGATTGTTCCAGGCATGTTTCACAGCGACTCATAGGAGTTGTCTGATGGATTTCACATAACTCATAGTTATGAGTCCCAGGGTTTGGGTGACGAAAGATATGAGTCACGTGAGGTGAAGAGCGAGTATATAAAAGGGGTCGCTAGGACTCCGAGTATGAGATCTTCACATGTTCTGCTTGTTTATTTCCTACCTTTATGTTTTACGAAGAATGAAACCTACCTTTACACTCTTTAACGTTTATATCACCTTAAGTAAGAAAACTATCTCTTGTCCCACGACATGAAGATAAGTCCTAGGCAAGGACTTAAGAAGTTTAGAGGAATAGGCGTGGTAAGATAGAAGTCAAAGGACTTAGCTATCCACACCATGTAGGCAATGGCCTAAGAACTATTCCACTCTTATAAGTAAAATATTGTTACCTGTCGCACTCCTCCTATGTAGGGTAGGATTCTTAATACTCTATAACAGTTGTAGATTGTTTAGGGGCTTCTAAGAGCTTAGTACCAGAGGGTGGCGGACCAGATGTTTCAATGCACTTAAGTCGCTTGTTGCCTTTCATTGAGGGTTCCCCTTTGGGCTGTGACCATTTCACTTGCACGGTATCCCTCACAGCATGGACAACAGGGGAGGTCATTGTACACTGTCTCCAGAAGTATCCTTCCTTCCCACACTTTGTACATTGCTTGTTGCGTCGTTTATCAGTCAGGGTCTGGTGGATGCCTTGATGCCCCATTGCATACTCAGATGTCCTTACCGGCTTTCCGGCGTCAACATTAGCAGTCTTCTGCATCTTGTTGTCTCTCTAGCCTGAACCTTTCTCTGTTTTCTTAAACCTTCCTGAAGTTTTAGATGCTTCCTTTTTTCACTTCTCTGGTG